CGCTGCCCAGGAAGCCGGTAAGTGCGGCAGGCGGGGTGGAGGGGGTCGCTCTGACTTTGCTGGAGATGCTTTGCGGGACGGATGACGGGGGAAGAGGAAGAGGAAGAGGAGCAGGCGCCTTTGAAATTATTCCTGCCTTTGTGGAATTTAGAACGTTGGATAAGGAGAACATAGAGGATTCTAATGAATTGGATTGGAATAGACTCCCATCGCCACTTTCTCCCTCCCTCTAATGTGATTCGAGGATTTCGCTTCCGCCCTTTCCTTTAAGTATGGAATTTTCCCCGTAAGACCGATGCGGGGAATCTACTGCTTCAGTGATCGGTCAGAGTTGATTTTTCACCCACCCAATCAGTGTATTCTGCCTTTCGTTCCCGAAATACAGGCAGTCCTTCTTTATTCATAACGCCAGCTGGTCACTTCTCGTTTCTGTAGAACTCGGTCATTTATTGACCTCTATAATTGAATTCTCCCGGACTCCGTCCCAAAGAAGACCCACCTGAATATTCCCTTTTATAGGTTTTTCTCAGTCGACCCCCATCCAGTTCTTGATTCGTAAACCGGCTAGCGTTAGAAGTGTTTTCACGTGTAGCGTGTGACTAATGCGATCCAGGATATTTTAGCAGTTTTAAGATGCGCATTTATTATGACATAATCTTCAGTGGACAAAGAACAGTATTTCTTTATGTTGTGCTTAAAAACTAAGTGTGGAACAGGAACAAAAGAATATCAATTAAATTAGAATATACAAAAATACAAAGACACTAAAACCTAGGAAGCTGTAACTGATACTAAATATAAGTCAGGGAATTGAACATACCGTAGAGATTCTTTTGAACATGCTTTCATGCTTGCATTAAAACTTAGTCAATGATCTTATTGACCCATTTTAAAACAAAGTAGTTTTGCACTGAATGTGAGATCAGCTCAGCAAATGCTGAGGGCAGGTGGAAAAGTAATCATTGAAAGGGGGAGGGAATCTTGAGTGAAGAATGTTGTGGTATTAAACACTTTACAGATTTACAACATCCTGTATTATATGTCTACTCAGGAATAAGTTGCATGAAAGTGGGTGGAGCATACTCACCCAAAAATTCAGGAGTGAATTTTTCAGGAGCATCTTCTATCACGGAGTACAGTCATGCAGAACTCAATTGGGCTTACTCCCGAATAGACATTTATGGCTCTCATTGCAACAAAAGCTTTTGTAGACTAGTCCATTTCAGAATATTTCACTGTTCATATTCTTGGGTTCTATTAGAGACAGATTTGAAAGAACAGGGATTTTTTTTTCTGGAGGAAGACTCCATTTTTTATATTTATCAGATCCAGTATTAAATTCTGTTGAAAGAAGTAGTTACCACTTTGTCTGTCTTAGTCATAATGCAGTTTCCATACATTGAGTTACATGGTTCCCCTATGTATGTGTTTAATAAGTGTGTACGTAAAAAAAGTGTTTAATAAGTATGTCATCTGAAGATCTTACTTATTAAACAGATACATTTTGTCTGAGAGTTGAATTAACAGCGTTTTGCCATTTGCACCTAACCATAGCACAAACATGTCCTGGTACCTATTTCTTTCTGCTGGGTTTTTCATCTTGTCCCCTGCTTATGAGTAAAATAAGTTTAATAGTACTTAGCTGTGTCAGTGTTAGAGTAGTGTCTCTCCTCCCCCTCCCCCCATCATTCAATCACACCTAAAATCTTGGAGGGCAGCCTTGTGACTGCAGTGACTTGAAATTAAAGGCAATGGAGGGATAGGGATCAGCAATAGGAACAGCAAATTTCATAGTTTTCTGCTGACTCAAGGATGAGTGGATAGCACTTTCACTCAGCAGTGGAGACAAGCTTGCAGTGGGGAAAGACAGTCCTTGTTTTGAGTATATGTATGTCTTTCCCCCATAAAGAATTAATTTCCTTTAGTCATATTAACCACAAAGTTTTCTTTGTAGTCTTTTCTGCCACTATATAAGCTTGCCATTAGGATAAGGTTGATGTGTGGTTGTTAAAATGTGAATATAGAAAACATATGTTGTCAACATTTGCATGTTTTACTAATTAAGGTTGACCCCTTCTATTCCCAGAAAGTATTGAATGTCTGTGAAGAATGCTTTTTTATTTTAGAAGAATTAGAGACATAGTGAAGATTTAAACTATCCTTACACCTTTGCAAGGAAAAGGTGAGGTATTCTTGTCCTCAACATTTGAGCAATATAAATGGTATATAGATTGCATAATCAGAGCAATGACTAAAGGTCCTTTACTACAGTTGCATTGAGTTTTGAAAACAATACCTACCCCTGCTTTTTGGCAGAATTATTTTATTGCCTATACTACATTGCATTGAATATAATACTAAAAGCAGGAAATAGAGAAATCACAGTCATCCAAGTAGGTAGAAAACTGTTCTGGTGTAATTGACCACCAAAGGGTTGTGCTTACACTAGTGTGCTGATCTTAACCACCTTCTGATTCCCATGAAATCAGAAGACCTTCTCATGCTGAGAATCTAGATATTGGAAACATATTGTGGGGTTGACAAGGTTTTAAGCTTTTCCCGAGGGATATATAGCAGCTCTTTTACATGCTAGAGCTACACCAATGCCTTATGGAAAATTTCCAAAGCAATTTATTCTAACGATTCCTTTTACTTTATATTTTAATAACTCTCACTTTATTGCCAAACAAAACCAAACCCCACACAAAAGCAGGTGTCGCTTAATAGCTCAGGTTCCCCACTGAAGCTGCCATCCTGTGCTAAGTGTTGCAGTAACTTGAGAAGCTCAGTAGTAGCAATGACACAAATAGCCCCATTTGACTTCAAGTGAGAATAAAGTAGAGCAGCAGATGGAGTTTTCAAGGCACAAGTCCTTTTAAAATAATAATAAAAGAACACATAGGAAAAGAGGGGAATAAGACAGATTTCTATAAAAATAATTGCTGCTGAAAAAAATCTCCCAAGCAGAAAACCTAAGAAAATATTAGGCATAAAAATATTATTCTGACATAGAAATCCCTTCCACCAACTAAAGCAGAAAGACTCCGTGGAAGATCGGGCAGCCGTCCTAAGTTATTTATTTGAGTTGGAACATTTGTAGTTGAAAATACATAGTTCTCTCCCCCCGCCCCCCAATTCCCCTACCTCTGCATTCATGTTACTTTAGCAGAAGCCTGTTTATATTTCTAGTGAGTTAATGCACTGTTATCCTGAGACATTATGTTTACATGGTACTCCTATAGTTGTTTTAGTCTACTTGGACAACCGAGGGAAGTGTGCAGATCTAATTAATGCATAGTGAGGCCTACCTGCCTTTCTGCCATTTGTGGCATCTATGCTACAGGTTCATATTTCCTCTGTTTTTATTTCCATGCAGTTTGCTGCCATGGCCAGAAGAGCTTTAAAACTTGCATCATTTGCTAGTGTAGCGGGGGCCACCGCTGGGTTCTACCTGCACAGCAGCAAGCATCTGGATCCCAATGATTTTGGAGTTGTTCGAGTAGGCAGAGCTGTTGCCACAGTAAGTTTCAACCTGGCAGCTTGTATGCATGAAAACATTAATTTTTTTTTAAAGCAAAACATTTAGGATTAAAAGGATGAATCATTTTAAAAGAGAAATGGATTCCAGAGAATATGTTTGCTAACGTTATATATTTAATGTAGATTTTTCTGGTTTACAGTTGATGTGAGTCATTGAAAATCATATTTTAGGTCCATATGCTAGCATATTTGGTAGAAAATGCCAAATCATTGTTTGGCTTACCCCCAACCCCCAAATTTAGGATTACTACTCTTTTTTATCCTAATATTCTTTGACTTTAACTGCAGACTTATTTTTTCACATCACTGTTTTTCCATGGCAGAGAAAAGCACAGTGTTTAGGGATTCTGTTTGTCATGACATTGTTAAGCTCCAAAATCTTTGTCATAAAATAAGATTGTAAAACATTCTTAATTACATGACTGACTGATATTTTAATCACCTTTCCCAGCCTGATATTTTCCAAGTGTGTTGGATTTTCAAATGATAGGTATGGAGACTGGTATGTTTGGAGGATATCATGATGGTGAGATGATCTAATAAAGAGAAAAAATAATATAGAAAAGACATTTGTCCCAGATATTGCGCCATCTGAGCCCATCTTTCTCTGTCTCTCTCTGTCTCTGCATTGCTCTGATGTGTGATGCATATCAATACTAATAAATAAGATTTAGTCATTGTGAGAACAGATATGATGCCACTGTTGTGATTTATGATGCAGTTCTAAAAAGTGGGTAGAAGGAAAATTCAAGGGATTGGACAACAAGTTTAGTCTGTGTACTATCATGACTCTATGAAATATAAATTGGGCTAAGCAAGGCCCTTATTTCTTGGATTTTCCTTCTGTTACTTCATGTCTCTAATTCTGAATATCTGAAATAGAAATCCTTAGTCTACTTTGTAGAAAGGCCTTGTTATTTGCACCATTGTTTGAAAGGACCTTGTGAATGCTTATTAAGGCTTTACTTTTGCTGTGCATTTGAAATTAAAAAATGTGAAAGCTGACATTGAAAAAAAAATTCTTTGCCAAAGATTTTAGTAGAAAGGTAGGTATGTAGATTGGGCTGTGCTTAGAATAATATAATTATAAAGTTGGAAAGGTACATTTAGGCTATTGAGTTCAATTTCGTTTTTAGTGTAGGAATCCAATTTTAAGTATCTCTAAGAGATGCTTATATTCGTCTGATTGGACACATCTAGCAAACATGCCCACCACTCCTACCCTTGGTTTCATTGTCAAACTGATCATTTATATTATAAAGTTTTTCCCCCCAACATTTGATTGGCATTAGCCTTCTGGAAACTTTTATCCATTATTCCTTTTGAAGAGAGGAGAACAGATATTAACCTTCTTTGGAACATCCTTTCACATATATGCCATTGTATCCACCTTATTTACAAGGCTAAAATATGTTCTTTTCATAAAACTTTGTTTCTACTGCCTTGATCATCCTTCTTGCATTTCTCTGAACCTGTTCCAGTGTATCTAAGTCCTTAAACTGTGGTGTCCAGAATTTAACAGATTATTGAAGGTGGGATGTCTGACTAATGCAGAATAAAGTGCAGCTTGTTGAACTGTGGGTGAATTTTATTTATTTTATAGAGTAGGAAAACACAGTGCAAGTTCTGAATGAAGAGCTATACTTCTGGGATATGGAATCAGAAGTGTCAAAATGCTTTTAACAGAACACTAGGAAAGAGAGAATGTGGTTTATAATTTTGTTTCTGGATTGTTTTCTAGACAGCAGTGATTACTTTAGACTACCTCACTTCTCTCCGGAATTTTCCACGTGGGACAGAAGAGTATGACTATGTCAAATCACAGGTAAAGAGTCAGTGATGGAGTGACAGAGACTAATACAAGGCATTCTTAAATTAATCAATGGAATCACTAATATGAATTTAACTCCCATCTTTCATGAAATTTCTGATAGCCAGATGGCCCATATTTTAGCTATGGCAATTATAAAAATTGTTTATCGGTTAGCAGTAAGAATTTTGATATCATTGGATAGAGATCAGTAGCGAACAATGGTTGAAGGTTGGAACAAATTATTGTGCATAAAGGAGGTGTGGTGGTAAGAAAAGTTGCCTGGATGATTAATGTATCTGAAGAAATGAGAAATAACGAAGCAAACTAACAACAACAGCTGCTGTAGCTGTTTGGTTATTACTGAATAGCCCAATTAAAAATAACATCTGCCATGGTATCAGTTAGGATAGATATTTACAATATTTCTAGTGATGTCCTTCATTTCTCAGTCAGATTTGCTCCTGCTCTTGCAGAAGTTGGAATGATGCCAGGTTGTACAACATTTTTCCAGTGAACCCGTCAAGCCTAATTCATTTGGCCCGGATTTATCATGAATAGTGATCTGAATTCATCAAATAGGGACTCCTTAAATGTTTGATTGACAAAACATAGAATGTAAGAGTTTCTAAAAGGAATAAATTAAAGTTTGTTTTCTTCATTGCTTTTTTCTAAAAATATTATCTTTCAGTTAAAAAAAACCCCAATGCCATCCATAAAATTCAGCAAATGTACTGAAGTCTGAACATTTAAATGATTAAAATAAGACATAAGACACAGCAAAAATATAAACAGATTTATTAGATTTTAGATGTTATGGTATCATGTGATCTGAATCGACACAATAACAACATACGTAATGTACAAAAATTACATTAAAAAAAAACCAAGACAGCAAATGGAAAACCATAATTTTAGCAAAACAGATCAAGCAAATTTGACCAAACTGCTATAAAAATATTCTTCTTTGTGCCTCCAGAAAAAGAATCATTTCAGATATTTACAAAAATATATAATCCACTTCTGCAAGTTTGGTGTAGATTTGTTCTCCCAGTGTTTTCAAATAATGCTCTTGGGTACTTGCCTCTCCATGCATGATGTATTCATAGACTTACATTGTAGATAAATTCCATATGATACACCCTGTACATGTGTGGTAAGCTGTACTGGCTATTAAATCATGTCAAGGATTCTAGCATTTTCATTCCAAAATATCAAAAAAGCAAATAATATGAGTAATGTTCTAACTGCTGAATTGCAGTCTTATTAACAATGAAAAGAATACAACCAAGCCCTCTTAAATATTTTCTGAGGTGTCTACTAAGTGTGAATTTTGTTGTTGCTGTATTAACCACATTTTAAGGACAATAAAGCTTGTTTCACAGTTTTTAAAACAATTTGCCACCAATTTAAACATTATTCCAAAGATCATGTAAATAATATTATTTTTATAGGATTGGTTTTATGTTGTATTTTAATGAATTTTTATCTTGTTGTAAACTGCTCAGAGTTGTTTCATGAGATGGACAGTGACAAAGTTGATAAATAAATAAATAAATTTCATCTATTTTTTTAAATTTAAATTTGCGATAAAGATAACTGGTTGATTTAGTTATGCCTAATAAGTTGCTCGCATTGTTGGAATTGGCTGGTGGGGTAATTGATTCTGCCCCCCGTCATCTTGAATTGTATATTGTTTTTTTATATAATATTTCTTTAGCTAATTTAATATGGATATTTATATTTTTACTGTTTTTAATGTTTGATTTTAATTGGGAGCTGTCCAGAATCACCTTCTGGGGGAGATGGGCGGCACATAAATTTAATAAATAAATAAATAATAAATAAATAATCTAAGTTCTTTAATAAGTATGGAATTTCAGAAGCTGCAATAGCATTTAAATAACAAATATTTATAGAATAAATTGCCAAAAGCGTTCTTAAGATAAATTAAACTCAGAGTTGAGTTCCAGAAAAGTTTAAAAAACTGTTTCCGCAGAAATAAGACTATTATATTAAAGGATGCCCAGTTTAGTCCCCTAAACAGTTTTATAAACTATCTTAGATTTTCTATAATTTAAGTTTTTAGTGAATGTTAGGATTGAAACGCACTTCTAACCCAATATTCAGAATATCTTGTATCATTGAATGCAGGTATCCTTGAATAAAACAAGAAACCTGCTGTACTGCTAAGATTTCATTAGAGTCAAATAGTAACTCTAAAATGGAATGCCAAAAGAAACTGGATTCCAATTTGTAACGGAAATGAAAATGTATGCCCCGTATTAAACATGAGGATATGACATCTGAACTGTCATAAAAACAAAATGGAAAGCTGCAAATCAAAATAATCATAATAATATAAGAATTAAAAGGCATCAAACTCTTAAAGCCAGCTAAAACCAATAAAACCCAACTATAAATTATGTGAAATCTCTTTCAACTCCTTCAAATCAAGCTCAGTTCTTGGTGACTTCATGGATGCTTCCATGCAGTCTCGTTGGCAACAGGATAAATATGGTTTGTCATTAGCTTCTTCTGAGATTTTTTTTTTTTGTCTTCCCTATCTAATCTACAGTAGTGGTATTTCTGATAGTCTCCTGTGCAAGTAACTCACCAAGCTGAACCCTGCTTCTTTACTGAGTCCAGGAAGGTCAGCCTGGTGCTGCCCTCTGCCAAGGCCTTAAAAGTCTAATGAATCTAGAGAAATGAAAATCTAAAGAAAGTCCTTATCTGGTGCAGGTGGCAGGCAGGCCTTTCTGTGAGTATTGTCTCTTCCATAAGAGAGCAGAATTTGGATCTGAAGCTACAAGAGTGCTTTAGATCGGGCATGGATATATGTACTGTGGCTGTCAGTGGCACCTGAAAGCAGCCATGTTGTGTGACACCAGAAAAAGGTGCAGTTGCTTTAAAATGCTACTGAGAGATACATCAAACATACCCATGACAGACCCAAACACCTTTGTCACTTCAGAACTAAACCCCTGCATATCCTTACTAATTACATATTAAAATGATAGCTGGATTTAAAGGCAATGTATTTCTTAGATGTTGGGAGCTAACACTCAGCATGGGCTCTTGCCTTCATGTAAATAACCCTTGTAAATATCCCAGAAGTGTTGGGCTAACCAGTGCTGGAAGTAGAATGAGGGACTAAATAAACTGTTGATCTAATCCACTAGAAGAACTCTTGTGTTCTTATGAATGATAAATGAAAATGCAGCCAGCATGGATTTAAAATTGGGTTAACAATCTGAGTCCCCAAGAGCCACTGTTTTCTTTTTTGTGGCCCCTGCAACCCTGTCTGATCCAAATTACAGGTTTCCATAATTTTGGGAAGAAAAACAATAAAAACTACTATGTTTGTAATAATAGGGTTAAGCTATTAAAAAAAGGGGTAAAAAAAAAAAACCCAACTCCCCTTTTCCTTCCAAAAATGGTAAATGCTTCCCTTGGCTATCAGAAATTGCCAACCCCTTATTTAAAGCAAACCTTGGATTGGAAGTAGAGGTTTCATCCTGCCATGGATCCCTGAGGGTATCTGCCTGTCCTACTAAGGTAGGGTGGGTGTGCTCCAGGTCCCCTCCCTTAAATGTTGCCATCTGATAGGACCTTGGAGGTATACCAAGTCCTTTGGAACAGCCTCCCACTGGATATGAGAGGGACTCCTACCCTTTTATTCTTCCAGAGGGCTGTGAAGACCTGGCTCTTCCCCCAAACACTGGGCTAGGATTGGGGGGTGTTGAGCTGTGAGGATGTTTGGTTTGGCACCTGGGGGGAAGGGTATGTTTTTAACTATGTTTTATGGATTGTTGTGAGCTGCCTAGAGTCATTGTATGAGATAGGTGGCCATGTAAGACTGTAAATAAATAAATGAATAATATCTTAGGGTTGAATGATGTATCATGAAATATGCAGTCCATGGTCAGTGTTGGTGTGCATTGTCAGTTCACTCATGTACATGGGGGGAAGGGTATGTTTTTAACTATGTTTTATGGATTGTTGTGAGCTGCCTAGAGTCATTGTATGAGATAGGTGGCCATGTAAGACTGTAAATAAATAAATGAATAATATCTTAGGGTTGAATGATGTATCATGAAATATGCAATCCATGGTCAGTGTTGGTGTGCATTGTCAGTTCACTCATGTACATGTACTTGCAAATATGTCAAGAATATGGGAACAAAGAGAGTCTTTCAGCAGATTCAAAAAAGTGGCAGTAATTACTTCTAAACTGAGAGAAATAGCTCAAATAACCACTCAGGTTGAAATGTTGACATTTTCCTAACATACAGTATCCCTACATATGCTCTAAAAGAAGAAACCTACTTGGTTAGTATGCCAGTCTTCTAGGATATGGAACAGCATAGTACTATACAGGTGGTTCCCAGTTTACGAATGAGTTCCATTCTTGATATCTGTCCTTAAGTCAAATTTGTATGTAAGCTATATAAGTAGTACTGTGTAATGAACTTGAACCATTGTGTATTTCACTTGAATCATTATGTATTTAACTCAAATTTTGTTACATTAGGCTCCGTTCTTAACTATGGGTCATCTGTAACCAGGGCGTTCTTAACCCAGGGACTACTTGTATGCCAGTTTCTAATAATCCTAACTGAAGATTAAAGAAAGGCAGCAATGGATGAAAAAAAATTTGTAAGAAGTGGAATGAGGCATTATGAAAATAGCAAGTCATAAATGTGACATGGGTGGCTACACAAATTGAATAAATAAGTAAATAAAAAGGTAGAGATTTGGGAATCTTTGTGCCAGGAGAGCTTTAGCACTGGTGAAAATGGTGAGATAGGGATGTTCAAACAATGCTTTTAGATGTGGGTGAGAAAAAGAACTAGAGCATAAGTGGATATTATTCTGAGTACGTGAAATTCAAAGGACATCTCTTCTGAGTGGATATCAACAGCTGAAAAATTCAGTGTGTACATGCTGCCCTCAACTTTCTCAGGCTTTGGTTATGAATTCAAAGTAGAATTTAAAAGTGAAAGCCATAGAGC